GGCGGGACCCCCCACACGGGGTCTGGACTCTGGGCCTGGGCGCTGACCCCAGCTCTCCAGCTCGAGGCCAGCGCTCTGCCCCTGAGCCACCTTCCCAAGCCCAGAGCTCTTGAAAGCCTCTCCACTAAAACCTGGACCCTAGCTTTACTAAAAGTCAGCGCAACCAAAGAGGACACTCCTAGGAGAGAAGCAGGGAGGAGCCGTTCCTCTGCGCCTCTTCACGCTTATCTACAATCATAGATATGTCAAAACCAACTCCAAGATACGGACATGGGCTCTCTTCCTCGCTATTTTTTTGGTGATTCTGTCTTCTTTCCTTTATATATGGTGTGTTTTTGGGGGGTGGAGGGTACAGAACTGGAGGGAAAGAGGGTGAAAAAGTGTAGCCGTGGAACTCCCGCACATGGCTGAAAGTGAAGTTGTAGGTGGAGACGGGAGGAGGGAGGGACTGGGAGAGAATGGGGGAACAGAAGACTCACTCACTCATGCTACTTAACTTTTTTAAAGTAACTTAAAAAAATAAAATGTCACCCCAGAATATGCCTAGGAGCTCAGCTGTAGGGTGTGTGCTTAGTATGTCTAATGCGGGACATGTTGACACATTGAGATGGAGATGAGGTAGGACACTAGAAGGCCTGGGATTTAGGCAGATCACCCTGAATCTCTCTCCATATATTCCTGGAACATTTGAACACAGATAAAATTGGGTTAAATTACTGGAATCCAATATAAGCTTGCAGCATGAAAGAAAAAAAAAACTAAAGAAAAGGAGTCATGGTACAGGGAAGGAGAGAAAATCAGCTTTGGCATTTGGTATGCCAAAGCTACTGGCTTTTCCATCCCCAAACTCTGGTCAGTCAGTGCTGGAGTTACTCTGGAGGTCTCTTAGCCTTTTGAAGATTTAGTCAGTGGCATCTCAGAGTCACAAACTAGAACTATGGTCATCTCAGGGGGAGGAAAACTTCTACCCCAGAAACCAGGTGGTAAGGACTACTAATGATACCCTCTCTTGGTAGATGAAGTCCGAGCAGGAAGCTATCGCCAGCTCTTCCATCCAGAGCAGCTGATCACAGGAAAGGAGGATGCAGCTAACAATTACGCCTGTGGCCACTACACAGTGGGCAAGGAGAGTACTGATTTGGTGCTGGACCTTATTTGGAAGCTCGTAAGTCTCAGCAAGGCTGGGGGTTGGTGGGCAAGGCTACAGTGCACAGAACTGGCCTAATCCCCCCACTTTTTTTTTTTTGCCAGTCCTGGGGCTTGAACTCAGGGCCTGGACACTGTTCCTGAGCTGCTTTGGCACTCTACCTACCACTTCAGCCACTGCACCACTTCAGGCTTTTGTGTGTGTGTGTGTGTGTATGTGTATGTGGCACTGAGGAACTGAACCCAGGGCTTCACGCATGCCAGGCAAGCACTCTACTGCTAAGCCACATTCCCAGCCCCAAAACCTTTTTTATCTTTGATTTTTGAAGTAAAACACAAGATTGGACTTGATGGTTTCTTTTTAATTATTATTTTTTTCTTTTTAATTATTAAGAAAAAAAATTAACCTGAGTGGTTAGGATGAAAAATGTTCTGAATATTCACTTTCTCCATTTGAGGGGGTGGGGTCATCAGTCTCAGAGGAGGAATGTGTGGAATTACTGGGTTGAATGATCATAGCTCCCATTCATGGGGTGAATTCTGTGATTCCATGAGTTCTCTTAATTCTGATAGGAGTCAACAGTGAGTACTCTACACATTAGATCCTTGCTCAGGTTGTGCTGTCTCAGTTATCGATCACAGTAACCTATGAAAAGCTTTTCATCGTTCCCAGGTTAACCAAGAGAAAGCTGAAGTTTGAAGGTGTTAATAACTCACTTTGATGTTTATAACTGGGGAGTTGATGGGTGGCGTGGGGAATGTGGTCTTTACACCACATATGTGAAAGATACTGTTAGGCCTTGCCAGAAAGCCATGCAGATATCCAGGCACAAAGAAAAGTTTATTGCCAGCCAAGGAACTGGCAAGACTCCTTCTCACAAGAGAGAAGTGCCGGCCATTGTCTGAGGAGACCTATCTAACCTACGAGGCCAGGAGGCGGAGACCCTGGTGTGGACGTGAGGACCGGGGGCTTCCTCATGGCGGGCGAGGGTGGATGGCTGCTGCCCAAGTGGGCTCGAAGGTCCCTCTAAGGGATCCTGTGGCCTTGTATGGCTGTAACTCCCAAAGGAGGGCCAGCTCAAGGTGAAGTGGGGAGGAGGCCTCTACCCAACGGGCCTGGTGTTGCCTGGGAGAGGAGCGTGCTAAGCTATGGGACAGGAGCTTACCGGACTAACAAACATCGTGATCGCTTTGCACCCTGTAGACATGCACACCTTGTGATTCCCTGACTCTGTTTACATTGTTGTAACTGTACTCTGAGCCACCTTCCAAAGTTGGCTTGAGACACACAGACCATTCATTCCCGTAGACTCTGTCACAAGGACAGGGATATCGGGTCGGAGCACCAAGTGGGTACAGTCCCTGGCTCCGTCACACTGTGCTCTGAATCGTTCCAGTTTAGCAAAGTTTCTAAGCTGAAACCTTCCCGCCATCCCTCTTTCAATATAAAAAAAACATTTCCCCTTGTGTTTTCCTCATTTCGTCGAGGCTTGGAAAGGGTAATAGTGTCCTCTTGGGGGATTCTTAGAAACTCGATTTTGTGATTTTTTTTTCTTTGTTCTTTCCAGACAGATGCTTGCTCTGGCTTGCAGGGCTTTCTGATCTTCCATAGTTTTGGGGGCGGCACTGGCTCCGACTTCACTTCTCTGCTGATGGAATGTCTCTCCCTTGATTACAGCAAGAAGTCTAAGCTGGAGTTTGCTATCTACCCGGCTCCTCAGGTGGTGGAGCCCTACTCCATCCTGACCACCCACACCACCCTGGAGCACTCGGATGTGCTTTCATGGTGGACAATGAGGCCATCTACAACATCTGCCGCAGAACAGCCCACCTACACCAACCTCAACCGGCTCTTCAGCCAGATCGTCTCCTCCATCACGGCCTCGCTCCGGTTTGACGGGGCCCTCAATGTGGACCTCACCGAGTTCCAAACCAATCTGGTGCCCTACCCCCACATCCACTTCCCGCTGGTCACCTACGCGCCCATCATCTCGGCTGAGAAAGCCTACCACGAACAGCTTTCCATGGCTGAAATCACCAACTCCTGCTTTGAGCCCAACAGCCAGATGGTGGAGAGCCACCCGGGCATGGAAAGCGCATGGCCTGCTGCGTGCTCTAGGGGGCGACGTGGTGCCCAAGGACGTGAGCGTCGCCATCGCTGCCATCAAGACCAAGAAGACCATCCAGTTTGTCGCCTGGTGTCCCACAGGCTTCAAGGTGAGCGGTGATGACCCAGGGAAGCAGAGGGTGCCGAGGACAGGGAGAATGAGATCTCAGGAGCCATGGGCTTACCCCACATGTAATATTCTTTACTTGGCTTCGGTTGAGACACAAATGGTGTTGAAGTTTGGTTTGCTTAAACCATTTTAGGACATACATGAGTTTGTCTGGCACAGGTGACTCACACCTGTCATTCTAACTGCTCAGGAGGCTGAGATCTGAGGATCTCAGTTCAAAGCCACCCCAGCTGGACAAAAAGCTGCTTATCTCTAAGTAGCCAGCAAAAAGCTAGTATTGAATTTGTGACTCAGTGACTCAAATAGTAGAGTACCAGCCGTGAGCAGAAAAAGCAGAGTGAGAGTGAGGAGGCCTGAGTTCAAGCCCAGTATCAGCACCAAAAACCAGAAAACAAATGAACGAAAGAGGAGACACATGAGTTTGGTGCTGTTTTAAACTGATTAGACATTTTTGTTTTTAAACTGAAATAGTGAGGCCACATTCTTTTAGGGTTCATGATTCAGATCAATTTGCTTTGTTAGTTTTAGAGGACTCTGCATTTCCCAGAAGCACCGTTTCCCAGTGGCTAACATGAATGCCCTCCTTAGATAACCTTCTGAGAGATTAATTTATTGCTCTGGAATATCCCTGACTTGGCAAGGAAACTTCCATATTGCAACATAAGAGAAACTTGGAATGAACATATGGGAAAGAATAAACTTCAAGCAAGGCTCACGCTTGTAATCCTAGCTATTCAGAGGTGGGATCTGGGGATCATGGTTCAAAGCCAGCCTGAGCAGAAAAGTCCATGAGGTTCTTAAGTGATCACCAAAAAGCTGGAAGTGGAGCTGTGGATGCAGGTAGTAGCATACCAGCCTTGAGCAAAGCAGCTAAAGAACAAGAAAACCAAAACCCAAAAACACAACAACACCAGCAAAACTTCATAACAACTTTAGTTCTATAAATTATTCTGTCTTTAAAAGATTAAAGCTTTTTTTTTTCCAGTCCTGAGATTTGAACTTAGGCCCTGAGTGCCGCTCCTGAGTTTTTTGCTCAGAGCTAGCATTCTCCCACTTGAGCCACAGCTCTACTTTTGGTATTTTGCTGGTTAATTGGAGATAAGCATGCCACAGACTTTCCTTCTTGGGTTGGCTTTGAGTCAGTATCCTCAGTTCTCAGACTCCTGAGTAGCTAGCAATACAGGTGTGAGCCACCAGGACCCAGCCTCAGTAACCATAATGGATACCTTCCTATTATAGGAACTTTCATTTGTCTACTTGCTGTTTTGCAGTAGCATTTCTTCTTGTCACTAGATCTTATTTTTCTCAGTTTTAGATTCCCCTGCCCTTCAATTTGCCCATCCCCAGCGCCATTTGCTTTTATTTTCTCTGTAGCACCGCCCTTTCTTCCAGCCACCAGATTCCCATTCTCCATTCGACCTCACAATTCCATCTCATACCCAGCACCAGGCCTTGCTGGCACAGGTGTTTCTGAGACGTGAAACGCTGAGCTGTCCTCTGGCTGACGCGCATGCTCTTCCGTTGTGCCGACTCCTTCTCTGATCTCTAGGTGGGAATCAACGACCTGCCACCCACGGTGGTGCCAGGAGGGGATTAGCCAGCGTCCGGAGGGCTGTGCACGCTAACACCGCCACACCGCCGCAGGAGCCCGGCCGCCCTGACCGTGAGTTTGAAGCGGGTACGTGGGAGAGGGAATGGAAGGAGGAGAGCTTCCTGAGGCTAGAGAAGACCTGGCTGCCTTGGCGAAGGACAAGAAGTGGGGACTGATTCAAAAATGAAGGGAGGAATGTTAAATAAACTTGACTCCTGACTGTGTCTCTTTATTTACCCCACTCCACCCCACCAGCTCCTGGCAATGACGCCCTTCTTAAAAATGAGAACCAGGCTGGCTGAGCCCGGCCCCCCTCCCCCCAGCTGAGCCCGGCCCCCCTCCCCCCAGCTGAGCCCGGCCCCCCTCCCCCCCCAGTTGAGCCAGAGCACGGGCTAGGTCCGGGAGCACGGGCTCGGTCCTGGATCGCGGGTCCGGGAGCAGCGCCTCCAGTCCCGGCTGCGCGGCCTGCCCGGCCGGCCTCGATAACCCGGGTTCAGGGCGCTCACCCCCTTCCCCAGGGCAGGGGCTCGGCCAGACTTCCGGGAACAGCGGCGCTGCCCGGGAGCGGCCTCAGACGCGAG